GTAAAATCAAACTAACCTTCTAAATACACCTGGAGGCACCAAAGTATGACCAATTCTCATTGCTGCTGACTGAAATACGTGGGTAACACCGGGATGTATAGCACTACTGTAAGCTTTAGTGGGAACAAAAAATCACCAATTACTCTCACCACCATGATGGTTAGTGTAACAAAGTAATACAATGTTTGCTCTGATAGGAAAGCAGTATGTTTGTGAATGGCCAAACAAAAAACAATTAGCTAAGACAAAACTTTGTTCACAATAATCTCTCAATACTTTTCTAGAAGTATGTGTCAAATATAAGCTAGGTACTCACTAATAACAGTTGGAAAAAATAAATAAACTTAATTGGCCCCTTTAATGTATAGGTCAATGACTAACACCATAGTTACTCTCCCTACTGCAATTATGAATTTGGTTGAAATTCTTATTTAACCAAAATGAAGGGTATATAGTGTAGTGTCACTGAATAGTCACACCAGACTCAGGAGACACCATGAAATGATTCCACTTGTGTTATTCCAGAGCGACTGGCCCACAAAAAACAACAACTTGATTATCAAAACATTTTATATACATTTAATTAGTGTTATATTGAGAGAAAATCAAAACCCTAAAGGTATCATACAGAATGTAACTAACAATGTATAACACTGTTATACTAACCATAATTGTCTCTCAACTCTGTAACTCTGCTTTCATTTAGATTCAAAAAAGCTGGCAACCAATCATACAAGACAATTTTCTGTGAAACAAATTGAATATTTTGAAATAAATCTTAGGAACCACTGCAAATATCATGAAAGACAACTATACATATCGCAGATGAGAAAACAAACAACAACAAATATACCTGATGTGTTGCTATGACCCATTTTCTTGCTTCATTGAAGATCCTTTCATCTGACCAGCTTGGATGTTTAGCAGCGATATCATCTGCCAAATAGTTATGCCATCGAAACCAAAGTATACCGAATGTCAACAGAAATGGATTCTCATTGCCACGAGGGTTACCAAGCTCTATTTTAATAAAAATATTGTGGATAAGTGTAATATATACAAACAAGCATCGGAAAATTGTATATGAAATGCGTCTTTGCAATGTTGAGTTGTATAAAAAACAAAAACAAAAAAATAAACTGTCAGGTTTCTAAAAATGTGAGTATACAGCTCACTGAAGGTTCTAGCATACCTAATTGAAAAGGAAATTTCATTCAACAATTTTGGAGCAGAAGTACTGAAAGCACGGTTGATGTAATAAGATGTTGACATCTTACAAAGTGATGGAATGGGAGAATTTCAGATATATATATAATGGAGCCAAGTTATGCAGAGCTTTATGAGAAAACAACAGAATCTTGCACAGAATACGATCCCTGATTGCAGCCAATGCAACGGACCACGAAGTATGACATCAATATCTTAAGTTGATTTTGTACATGTTACCAGCCAAGCTGCAGAATTCAGCATCTGTTGAAGTCTGGCTAGGTCAGTGTTTGAAAGGCTATTCAGAAGGTTGTTGTTTGCATCAAGACATGAAGTGACAAGAGCATGCACCAATGGTTCAGCTGATGATTGATCAATGAATTGCTGAATCTGCCCAATCTTTTTGGAAGGCAAGGCAGACAGAACAACACAAATTATTTAAATGAGTTGACAAAGTAAAATTACTATCAACATTGTTGTTGGATTACTGTAAAACACTTAAATTTCAATCACATTTACAGTCGTTACAATTAAACTTCAAACAAAAATGTTGTCTCAAATGTTCATACACTTCTGGAATTGGCTACAAACGAATATATAAAACATTGGTAAATTGTAACCAACATAAATTATATTACACACATACATGTAGCAGCTAGAACAATTTTGTTCGCCAGCCATCATCAGGATACAGAGTTGACAAGAGATGGAAAGTAAATTGTGGAAATTAATTGATTTTTAGAGTAAAATATAAGAGGTGTGCATTTTCTTTTATCTTGAATTTTCAGAGAAGGGATGCTTTTATTTTGATTTCTCATTGAATTGACACTTTATTGTTACTTTGTTGTTACTAGTATTCAAAAATTTTAAAGTACATTTTAAACATTCATAAGGTCTGAAAGTTAAAACATGACGTATGGTATGTATTGTATTCTCAGGAAGCCAGGTCGACACAATGTCTATTATTAAACTAGAACAAAGCTTTAGGATACAATACTGAGAAAAGAAGATTTTAATACTCACTGAAGAATCTCTTGGCATCTTTGAGTTTATGATCTGCTGGTGCTGGAGGGTTGGCCATTGGCAGTCCAATGTCATTCTCTGCAGGGAAGTTACCTATTTCACTCTTGGCTAATCGACCACCTTCAAATGACCTGAGTGCATCAGCCCATGCCTTAGAAGTGCCATACATCAAACCACCATCAATATAGGGGGTGATTTCATTCAGCTGAAATCAGAAAATGCAAAACATAATTTATATCAACCTCCAAAAGCTGCAGAAATTTTTAAGCAGAAACAAAAATGTTTTTATAAACATGGCCCTACCTGTTGTCTTGGATTGTTTGGTGAGAATCCAGTATTACCCATATCATAGCGTGACCTAACAAACGGCATGACTCGATAACCTTTCTCATAAAGAGGATGGTCATCGGGCACTTCTATATTATAATATTCTGGAGGACATCCAGGACGCTGAGCATCTAATATTTCCTCAACAACTTGTTGTCCTGAAAATGTCATTAAGAATTAGAAATATGATAGAAGTATTGTTCACAGTGACTCATGTTATGAGTATGTAGTATGACACTACAAACTGTAAAGCAGGGTTGTTAAGCAAATTTTCTAAAAGACAAAAGTAACAATGATACAAGGGTTTAAATTACAAAAGTCATATGTGCTGTTAGGCAGTCAGAAACGAAAAAAGAATTTGCTTTTTGACTTTTTCAAACAGAATGATCGCACGTCAGCCATATTGAAATGGATCATGAAAAATAACTAATTTAACACTGCTACACAGCATTATTTACAAAAAATAATGCACAACAAAAATAAAGAAAGGAAAAGATGGAATTTAAATGAAGTGACTAAACTAAAATTTCCATAGCCCATTCTAACAAAATCAAGTTCGTTTGAACAATGATCACAAGTGGGTTAAAGTTGTATTGGATTTTTTTTCAAGCATTTGACATGTCAAGTAATACATGTGTATGTATACTGCCCTCAATACACAGTGATAGAAACAGTAGTCATTTGCATATAGCTGAACAACATCAAACAGTTCTGTGGAGTCAATTATGTTTTCAGTTTTCACTGAATAGCATATATGATTTTCTTTTAGATGATTTATTTCTTTAATACAATGTAACATGCCCAGCCACTCAGGAAAAACTTAATTTGGTGTGAAAAATGTGTAACTAGGAATAAATATTTTGGTCAATTTCTCAAATCTAAATATATCAATTACTTACTTAGTAATATTAGCTTTTAATTAAACAATAATGGGGTTATATCTATTAATTACACATTATCTATCAATCACTCACTTAGGGAGTGCAATCTATCAATCACTCACTTAGGGAGTGCAATCTATCATTCACTCACTTGGGAGGTACAATCTATCAATCACTCACTTAGGGGGTTGCAAACTATCAACTACTCACTTAGGAGGTACAACCTATTAATC